ATTTCTTTCTACTTGAAAATAAATTTCAATTAACATTAACAGCAAGTTTATTTTAAGGGATTGATTTAAAAATGCATTTGACTTGTGATATTGTACATTATATTATACTATTTATCATTTAATAGATTCTATCTAAACCTTCGACTTCCTTCTTTTTGTCGACATCCCCGTTTATAGTTATAGAATTTATTCTTAACATTGTTCTGGGTATTCTGATAACTGTAAAACAAATATATGGTTAACAGAAAAGTTGTACAACATTTTTGATTATGACTACATTATCATGTCATTCTTACAATTTAATCTCTTAAATTGTTTCCTTGGTCTCATTCTAAAACGAGTTATTGTGTGGGATAAAGTTTTCTGAATTACAGTTGCATTAACCGACACCAATTCCCTATTCAGTATAGGTCTTCCAATGAGTGTAAAATCCTTACCACCAATCAATAATACTTTTTCCAAATTTATTTGGTCTCCTGGTTGAGGTGGCCAATGGCCCTGAATAGTTATAACATCATTTTCTGTGATCTTAAATTGTGTTCCACACAAGTGTATGACTGCAAATAAGCGACCAACTTGATTGGTAGCTATCTGTTTGTTAATTTTGTTGATTATGTCTAAAAATTAAAAAAAAAGTTATATATTTTATTAATATTTATATATCTAATATATAAAATTACCAGCGGCTGCCTTTTCTTTTTTTTCCTCATATTCTTCAGGTATTTCTTCTTGATATGATGGATTTGGTTTAAACCAAGGTAATTTATATTTAATTGGTTGTCTACGACTAGCATAACCAGCTACTTCTATCTGCCGTAGTTTTAATCCTATGATACATGATAATTTTTATTTGTATATTTTGCTTGTCATTTATTTATTCTGAATCATTAACTTTTATGTCATATTACTACTTTATTTTATATCATTTACATATAATAAACATTTAATATTATATTATTAATGATAACAATAATAAATAACCTAATAGCAGAATATACTAAAATAGTACTTATATTTTATATAATAAAATAGATCAACAAGTATGCATAAATATATGGTTAAAGAAATGTTAATTATAAATCATTCATTGTGATGTTGTTTATTTAAAAATTGCTATTAATACAACGTATTTTGAATAACAGTAATCAAAAATAAGGTTATATAACCTAAAATTTCGTACAAAAGAAACAAGCGAATCTTGTATTATTTTTATGTAAAAAATTTTGACAAACCTAGATAATATTGTTTGTTTGTCAAAGCTGGAAGAATCCTTTTAACACAAGTATTTGTAGCGAAATTAAGCAGCCTGTTAAAACTACCAAGCGCCGCCATGATTTTGACTACTTGCTTTAAATCTTACTTGCTTTAAAGTAACTTCAAGATTTAAGAATTTTTAGAAACAATATTAGAAATTAGATACGTTTTATAAAATAGTAAAATAAATATAACAGAGACCGCAGATATCTTTCTCATTAAAAGATGCGAAGATGAAATATAATTACAGAAATTCGCGCCAAAATTTTGAATAATAACTTTTATCGCATACGTGTTCGAAATTAAAATATATAAGATTAACAAGGTTAATAAACGTTGTATAAATATTTTAATATATAACAATTCTCTTTGTGAAATTTCTTATTTCATGCAACGTACACTAACGGTGTCGTAATTGATGCGTAATTTCAAAACAATACGAAATCGTAGTATTTTTGTTGACTTGATGGTAGTTCCGGGTACAACAGAGTGCGAAGAGATGTCGTACATGTTCGCGAGCATTTAGTTGTTATGGTTAGCCATTGTATTTTAAAGCATTGATGACTATGCAGTTTTATAAGGAAAAGCTTTTGTCACCTGGACAATTAAAACGTCTCAGTGAGCATAAATACAGCTGCACAACAAATAGTCTTTTGGATGGATTTCTTCAACCCTGGTGGGATTGGCTTGTCAGCAGAGTTCCACTTTGGCTTGCACCCAATTTAATCACCATCGTGGGTTTGATTGTCAACATCGCAACCACTTTAGTCCTTATATATTATAGTCCAGATGCAAAAACTGAGGTATCGTTTATAAAATTTAATTTTCGCATTAAAATATTATTCTGTCAGATGACAGTGTAAATAGTGTGAACATGAAGATGTAATAGATATTCCATATACAAATGTAAAAAATGGAATGAATAATTTGTATAGTTTTATTATAACATAAAATTATTATTTTGAAGTAAATTTTGTACAAAATAGTGTAACTGTTATGTGCGATGCTCATAAGAAACTTATATACTTAGAAAAAAACAGTTTACTAATGAAATGAAAGTATACTTGTTACTTCCATGCATAGATATAAAATAGCTTTGATATATAAGTATAACATTACTTTATTATTTTAGGCACCTAGATGGACATGTTTTCTGGCTGCGCTTGGTTTATTCATTTATCAAAGTCTAGATGCCATAGATGGCAAACAGGCTAGAAGAACAGGGACTTCAACACCATTGGGTGAACTATTTGATCATGGATGTGACTCCATATCAACTGGTATATTATCTAACCTGTTTGACTTTTGACTTTATTGTGTTAAATTTTTATTGTTACAGGTGAAAAATTATATTTCTATTTTTCTAGTTTTTATTGCTCTATCAGCGTGTATAGCAGTACAATTAGGATTTTATCCAACATGGATGTTTTTCCAATGCTTTTGTGCCATGACGCTCTTTTATTGTGCACATTGGCAGACATACGTTTCAGGTAAGAGATTTATAGATATTACTAAGAATAATTTTATCAAATATATTTATACTCTGGTGTCATTATCTTTAAATAGGTTCCTTAAGATTCGGCAAAGTGGATGTCACAGAAGCGCAGTTTACTATTATAATGATTCACCTTATTTCTGCAATTTTTGGGCCAAAAGTATGGATGATGGAGGTTGTACCTATTTTAATAATATTTTTATTTTCACATTTATATAATTTATATAATATCTTATGTCAATCAATAATATAACTTAATTTTTAAAATATGTTATGTCTAAAATATTTGACTAATTTGGTCATTAATGGTTTGAGATACCGAGGTTGTAAAATGAAACAATTAATTGATGGTCATAAGATATTTTTTCAGTCTTCGTCTTTAATTCATTAAACAGTAAACAAATATGAGCTTGTTTATTAGTATTAAATTTATTTATTAATAATAGAAACTTGTTTTTAAGGTATAATAATAAGTTTTACGGTAAATTGAAAGAGTTTATAAATATTTTGCATAATTGCACTTAAAAAGTTCCAGTATTATAAATTTGTATAAGATATTAAGAACACAATTATCCATTCTTTTCTTTGAGTACATGAGATAATTATTTATTCATGTTAAGTTCATCGTGACTTTTCATTTAAACCTTCATTTGATGTTATTTCCATGAAGTATGTTAGATGTTATTTCCTACTTTCGTTATTGTTTGTATCATAATTTTCTTACATTTGTTATATGCAAATATAAGATTATTGTGTATGTGTGTGCATTACATTTATTTATGTTTTCCATTTATTTCATCAATTTACGAACTGAATGAAAGGCAAATAATATTTAAATAAGATGTAATAGTTAAAAAATTAATTTCTAATTTAAAGATTTTCATTTTATGCATTAAAAGTTTTTATATACAAGAAAAAAACTAATATTTCTAGTGAGTTCCATATTTTTTATCTCAAGACTCATGTTGTTTATGAAAAAAAAATTTTAAGATATTTTTGCATGAGTCTAATGAGATTATTTCTTACAGATACCATACATAGATGGTTTTATGTTTAAGTATTTAATAGGAGTTATGACAGTAATTTGTGCAGTGGCAAACTTATATTTCATCTTTTCGGTGATTTTCACCGGAGGAGTGGGCAAGAATGGTTCAACTGTGGCTGTAAGTTAGTCTATTAGACATTCGTGTTTGGAAATATCGAAATGGGAGAAGCATGGCATGAGGAGCAGCACTGAAATTATCTTTTTTGCTATGGAATTTATTATAACATGCATTTTATTTTCATATTCATTTGTTCCTCTTCATCCAAGTCTTTCTTATTTTCCTGCATCACATTGTCATTTATCATAAATGCATTATAACTTGTATTTGTACCTACAGTTGTCCATCTAATTCGTTCACATAGAAAATATACTGAGAGGTATTACTAGAACTTGTGATATAGTGAACAAATAATATTTAGGACATATTCTTTTATTATAAAAAGCTATGTATAAAAATTCAATTTACTTTTAATACCTAGAATTATGCTTTTGAAACAATTTCTGTCAAAATAATAATTTAGATATACAAATTTGTTATTAAACATTATTATTTAGTTTTGATATATAGTTTAAAACGCTAAAAATTATATAATTTAAAACATTAAAAAAATTGCATTAACTCCAAGGAATAAGCACACACATATAAGTAACTTAATATAACATTTATCATGATCATAATTTATTATTTATATCATAATTTATTAATTCAAAATGTAATTTTTTAAATACTATATAATATTATATATTTTTTTTATAAATACTATAAAATTTTTAATATAAATATATAATATTATATAATTTTTTAAAATTATTATAAATATATATGAATACATAGAAACGCAGGTAAAGAAGCAGCTTCCTCGTGCCTAATATCTTAATTTTGTATTCGTATTGAAAGAAATGAGAGTTACTGAAGATAAAAATAAGATACAGGGTAAACTTAGGTTAAATTTTAATTGCATCTCTACAATTTTTATAACGAGCGAGATTTTGTACATTTGTTTAGATGCCAGTGCTTGGTGTAGGCACGTTCAGTAACTACGTAGCGGTATTATTTTATGCAGGCTACATTCATGTATTCCTTGAATTCTGTAAAGTCTTTGAATCTGGTGGGATTGGAAAGAACGGTTCCACAATTGCAGTAAGTTTCAAAAATACCAACTCATCAGTTGTATATATAAATTCTCATATATTTGTCACTATAGTAACAAGATTTTTCTACTCTTACTTTACTTACCTATTTTAGACTATTCTAGACTATTGTCTAGATAGTGCATAATTTTTGTATGCAGGCTATGAAAAAATACAGCTTACACTGCAACATTTTCTCAAAATCTTTTTCCTGCAGATTTATCTTTCATTCTATGTAGGTGCTTATAGTTACGGTTTTGGGATTTAAACTACTTTTAACTGTTTTAAATAATTTAATATAATATATTAGTCGCCTCTATTGCATAATAATAATATCACTTTTTTAATTCTTTAGAAAAAAAAAATATTAAAAAAAAGATAAGGAAGAATGTATCAGTCTTTATTTTAGATGTAAAAATCCAAAAATCAGTTTGTTTCTCCGAATTTTTACTAGATAGAAACAAACAGGTTTTATGTGAAATATAATATTTTTTATTAAATTTTATTAAATGATTGTAACTCTTTCTGCAGTAATGCAAATTACTTAATGTATTTTGAAGATTTGAAATTGTTTCAAGAGCAAGAAGTTCTCACTGGTATGTGATAAAATATGTTAAAGATATGTTTGAAAGTAATTAATAAAAAGGTTTTTCGTATGACTTGCACAGTTGCCATACACTGGCACAGAGGTCAAGGTGTTTCCATTATGGGCTGCTGTGGGCATCGCTATTTTACTTGCACAGAGCAGCATATCCGTCATTCTTGCCGGTGGTGTCGGAAAAAATGGCTCCACCGTCGCAGTAAGTCAGTTCAAAAGTAATAAAATCATTGTGTAGTGCACTTTGCATTTTATTTTGATTTAGGCCCATATGTTATAAAAGAATATTCCTTTCTGGTATATATGATATATTAGCACAAAATATTAACTATCTTGAACATTATTACTTATTGTATATTATCTGATATATTTGACATTATGATGTTAAAAATACTGGTTTTTTTTCGATTAAATTAAAAAATTAATAAAATCTAATTATGTTATTGTGGGATTGCAGCACAGAACAAATTTTTAGGTCATTTTTAGGTTTTATTAGGTCATTTGTGTGGGTCTAAAATTTGCAAGAGCATCACACTGAACTGTTTACTGTATTTCTGTTTTCACTCTGGTTAACACCTTTTCCTAAATATTTAACAGTATTGGTACATCATACATATTTTCTTTATTTATTGCTCCCATCCATTGATTGCACCTTTCCTTGCACCATTTTAACAAACTGCATGGGTTCTAGACGTATGTAATTTTATGTAACTAACATAATAATTTTATATTTTTATGGATTTTAAGTGATTTTGATAATTAACACAATAATTTTAATTATGCTTTACTGCAACTAACTTTAGAGTCGTGAATAATATTGTATTTATTATGTGTACTAAACTTAGTATTTATATATTGAGATTTTATATTCTTTTTTTTTCAGTTATATATACTGAAAATTTTATATTTTTCTATGTTTGATAATTTTGCTTTATTGTGAATAGATGAATAGATACTTTTTTAATATTTATAAAAATTTGCATTTGAATGTGATATACTATATATTCTCTATGTGAATATATAGTATGGATCTTGGAAACATATTCAAGATAGTAGTTTTGGTAGCAATTGGTAGCAATTTGGTGAAAATATAAGATTTTAATTAAATATTATTACACAAATAAAATTTTTATAAAAATTATAATGTTTAATTTTTATAAAGCGTTTATAGTATTTTCATTTTTAGAGATTGAATACTTAAAGGTAATCTTTATATTGTGTAATATTAAATACTTAAAAATTAGATTTAGGTATTCGTAAATTAAATATTAGATTTAGGTATTTCCAAAGTGTTTAAATATCTCTCTTGTGTATTTATTGATTCCGACCGATATTGTCATAATATTTATTATATTTCAGGGAACATCAGTTTTATCTCCAATTATTCCATTTAGTTTTGTGGTAGTGCCAGCTTTTATAATTTATAGAAAAAGTGCTGAGCACGTGTATGAAAATCATCCTGCATTGTATATACTTGCATTCGGAATGGTTGCAGCTAAAGTTACCAATCGATTAGTGGTATGTATATAATATAGTTTAAATACTAATTATATTGTTCAATTTTCAAACATTGTTAATTATTATTTTAGGTTGCTCATATGACAAAGAATGAAATGGAATATTTAGATAGTTCACTGATTGGACCAGCAATGCTGTTCTTGAATCAATATTTCAATTTTTTCATCAAAGAGTATTATGTCCTTTGGTTGTGTCTTGTGAGTCTTAAGATTTATTGGAAAAATTTTATTTAATTTTTTTGAAATATCATATCTTTATATATGTTTTATATGTGTTTTTAGATTTGGGTTACTCTGGATTTACTACGATATAATACTCAAATTTGCCTTGAAATTTGCGATTATATGAAGATTAAACTATTTAGGATACCATTAGGAGATCATCGAACGAGTCTGGTTTCTAATACAGCTGAAAAAAATGGTACTAATAGGTCCCAACGTAACAGATTGCAAAGGAAACATCACTAGGATTTACTTGTGATAATGAATGTGCTGTATGATTCATTTTTTTGTATAAAAGAGAGTTAACAAAATAAGAAAACATACAAATTTGATAAATTTTGTTATTTAGTTACACCATTGTATATATACAAAGTTCAGAATAGTACAGTTCATTTATTATCACATTAATTTCTAATCGCCACATCTGATTAGTATTGAATAAAATAAAAGGTCTCACTAACATGTTGATTAAAGTTTCTCACTGCTTATCGTCGATTGCAATCAATTTTATCATCGACGAAAAAAAAAAATATATCATCATGTACCTAGTGATTAAATTTACGATTCGGTGAAAACATTAAAATACATGAAACAATATAATATAAATATGAGAAGTGATATATAACTATTATTAAAGAAAGATAGCAAAAAGACATGAATAAATTTTAAGTAACTTTATATCATTGTTATAAATATTATAGAAATTTAATTAAATCGGAGAATGTGAATGATTTATTCAACTTTTATTTTTTAATAACTGTATGAAATTTGTTTGACAATGATGCAGTTGTAATAAAAGTTCTAAAGTTTTTGTTGATTTTTAGATTACAAGGAAAATTTTAGAAGTTGAACGAATTTAGAAAAGGTACTAGTTTTTACTTAAAATCGTTCAGAAAAAGAAAAAAAAAATTATTTGTTTATTTCCTAGAGGTTGTGTTTAATAATACTGATTATTTTTTGTTTGCAATGTCATAGCCATGATCTCATATAGAATGTAAAAGCAAACCATTTATATATTTGAAATTATAAATTATAAATTATAAATCTAGTTTGAGAAGATAATATACTATTTCTATAGTCAATTACAAAAAATTTATAGTATAAGTAAACTACCAAAAATAGTTCATTTGACTTAATGAAATTAAATTCAATCTATTACTTCTCTTATTTTTTTTTTTTAATAATTTCAATTTTATATCATTAAAAAATTATAAGAAATTGACGGAATGTTACTGACTAATCATTTTGTGTTTTGAAATATTTTTTTTTAGTGAACATCGGTTTGTAACGAATAAGGAAGTGTACAAGGAAAAGTACATAGCACAGGAAATATACGTATTACTTAAGCAGTAGATATGTAAATTGATACATTATATTCTTAATTTATAATGATTTACATTCAGCTCAGGTCTGTGGCCTTAAAATGCGCTTATGATTGCAATTATATAAAATAGTTTTCCAGTTAGAAATAAAAATAGCCAACGATTTTTATTTAAGATGATTCTTTCATATTATTTAATATTCTATATTATTTCTGTGTTATTTAGTACGACATATTTTTCATTGTAAAATCTATTTTCTTTTCTTTGCAAGAAGTATGATATAGAGATTTAACAGTATCAATGAAAGATAATAATCTTTAAAAAACTATTGCTAATTATATGCAATAAATATACATATTTAGATTCTTATAACATAATCTTTACGACTAATGGAAAGTAAATTTTATATAAATGTGTATCACATAATGAGGAATGGATAATTTCAAAGCTAATTGCAACGTAGTCTATTAAAAGTTATTTTGATATTAATTTAAAGTATATGAATTAAAAAAAAAGATCTTACATCAGTGATATATTTCACCTGAATAAATGTGATAAGTTAAACATTGTGACAGATTAGTGACATATTCTTAAAATATAAAAACACTACATTATATTGTAAAAAATGTTGAAAGCTGTTCAGGAAATAGTTTCTTTAGAAATATGATTACGAATAATTTAATCATTGTGCATGAAAAGGATTCCAAGTTTGGAATAAGTTCAAATATTTTATCATAAAGTATATAATTCTATAATTCTATTGTTTCTATAATTATATAATTCTAATGTTTTACAAAAGTTTTGAATTTTTACTAAATCGTTTGAGATTATCAGAATGACAATATTTTTATGAGGCTTTCTTACAAACTTGCCTGACAAAATAAATAATGTATCTAATAATCTAATGTAACATATCTTGGTTTTTGTTCAGAAAATGTAATCTACTTTTCCGATAAATAATTTTCGTATCACATGCTATCTTTTATTTGTACGTTTTCATTGGAGAAAGCTTGGTATAATGATCAAAATCTTTGGAATTACTTTCCCATTTTCCTATCTTCAAATTTAATATGTTTTAATCCTTCCAAAATAGCTTGCAAAGGTGATCTTTCAAATAGATTCTAAATCTTGCTTCTTAAACAAAAAATATACATTTATAGGCTTTTAAAATATCAATTCGCATGCTGCATCATTCTATTTTATTTAAGCAAATTTTTTTTATTTGTATTGTTCTTTATTATTGTTATAGTAGTATTTTAACAACATTCGAATTAACTTCATAGTAGCATCAATTAACAATAGCTTGGAAAATTGTTTTACTTTGAACCGCATTATTATTCAGCATGTTTGTAGAAATTTTACACAAGTTGTACTTTATCAAGTTAATATTGTATTTCACATATTTCAAATAATAATGTACAAAATTATATCCTTTTTAATTTCGAATTAATCCATAAATCTTATCTTTTTTAACTCTCAATTAATATATTAATTTATATTATAATAAATTAATTTTATGAATAATACTTAGCTTTTAATATAGACAAACTGATTATGATTAAACAATATAGTAAAATAATAATGCGATAGATCATTCAACAAAGTATTTCATAAAATATTAATGCATAATCCAATGTTAAAATATATGAAGAATTAATGTGCTTTTAATATTGCATTGATGCTTAAATGCTTAACATTTTATTTTTAATATAATGTTATTATTTATTAATATAAATTATTTATTAAGTATTCATGATAATATATATATATATATATACACAAACATTTGCAACTAGAGAATTGATGGCATATGAATATTGCATTTGCATGACTCTGCTTGTCTCTTTTGTCTGCTGTAATGTCTTGTCGAACGCGTTCAGGATGTTAAATATTTCCAATATTTTAATTTATATTATACAAACTATTTTAATTATCAAATTTTATAAGAAGCCAAGAAAAATTTTCTAAACACGGTCGTTGTTTAATATATGTATGTATCTGCGAAATGCTATCAAGTATGAAGAAAGAAAGGTCTTTGCCAACTCTACGTTTATTTTATCTCAATTTTATCAAAGACATAAATGTAAACTTGATTACAGTATCTTTTTGATCAAAATTGCTCTCATTGATTGTCGTGCTTTTGTTAGTGTAATGCGTGGTCTGTTACAATATTGGACATAATATTTATTTAATGTTAAGTAGTATTATAATGTGTTACTATATCTAATATATAACATGTTACTTGAGCAGCTTGTGCGAATAACGTATTAATATCTTGATCTTTTCTCTTAAAAAGAAATAGCATCTTTTACTTTTGTGTTTTACTATAATTTGGATATCAGATGTAAAATACCTAACAAGGGATTTCAATTCTCTTTACTTGATCTACATGGTAACAAGATATTCGCACATGCAGAATATAAATGTATTTATTCGTTGGTATGCATGAATAGTTCTGTTCACAGTTCGCACGATGGTGGAACAAGAGCCTCTGTTAGATGAGGATTATCATCATGGATCTAATACTACTCTCGACCTCTGACGATTATGTTCAACGTAAAGATAATTATTTTCAAGTGCAGGGTTACGCAAAACTCTCTTCACAACTTTGTAACTTTAATTATTAATTTTTTTTTTTATTTTCTATACATAAGTATAAATACTAATCTTCCTCGATAATAAAGATTAATATATCATATGGTACATTAGTAGTATTAAAGCTTTATGTGGCCTTGAAATACTAGCCTTGCATCATAATTCATCCTGAAATTTGAGATATTGGTCAGAGTGTATAAAAAGTATAAATTATATAATAGGATGAAACAAGTAGTTATATTCTAGGAAAAGTAAAGAAAAGTAAAGAAAGTTCAATTCTTAGAAAGTAGTGTATCAGAGGGTGAAATTTCATATTTCAATATATTTTTTAATTTTATTTTAGAAACGAGTGTGGTATAGTTGATATATATTGGATGAAAAATAGAAAAATTATTTTTTATAATACTTACAAATAATATTAGCAATAACAAAGAAATGTCATTCCAGTATATATTCTTCTGTTTTAAAAATGAATAAATTGTCACTGAATGTTGAATGAGAAAATGTTGAGAACGATGACATGAAATTTCACTTTTTAATTTTAATTTTAAGAGTTAAAGAGAATTTCGCGTGGCCCTTTTTGGCGTAGAAGGAAACTTAACAATAAAAAGTTTAGTTTTATCGAGACAAGTGCATCCGTGTTGTACGATACTGGTTGACTTAAAGTTTAAAAGTTTTTGGTGAGATAAGATAGGGGTATTTCCTGTGACAGTTTCGTAGAAAGACAATTTGAAGTACAATTCACCGGTGATCGAAATATTCTTACATAATCGGAGACACTGCGAATTTTAAAATAAGATTTATGTGTTATTGTTAACATTTAAAAATTCGTAACAATTTTATAGGACATAGAAAGGATAAAAGAAATGGTGTTTTTAAAGTAGAAACATTTATAGAAAATAATTTGAAAGATGAATAAAATGGATATTTCTCAATGTTATCAGAATGAAATGGCATTTAATACTAATTTTAGCATAAGTTAGTCGTACGACAACATCCAGCTTTTATCAAAATTTCTATGATCTCTTAGAAGGAAGTGGTAATCGAATTATTTGAAAAAAGAAAAATTAACAACGTCACAAGTGTTATGAAAAAAAAAAAGAAAAGGTAAAGAAGACAATAATAGAAATAGTTTTGTATAAATAAACAAATTGTAATATATCTAATGAAAGATAAGATTTGAAATTTCACCAGATCTAATTTTAAGTTAAAGTTTATCACAGTATTAGTAATATAGTGAATTTGATCAAAGATTTTTATGTTTAGAAATTCTAAACGTTGTGTTGTAATTGCGATCATTGTAATTTATGCGAATAAAATGAAATTTTAATTAATCATTTTGTTATTGGTTCTTTTGTCTCTTTTTTGTTGATGAATTTTCATCAGTGTCCAGTTAAAAGGATTTCATCGGATCGTTGAAAATATTTTCTTGCGTTTGAAAGTGGAACAAATTCGAATAACGATTAAAAACTGGTTCAACTCTCGTATCGGAAACTGGGTCAGGAGTAATCACTATTTCCCAGGAAATATTTCGGTCATCTATAGTATTTCACGAGTTTGTAAAAATATCATTGGACTAATCCTTAAACATACATAATATGAATATAAACATGCTAATTGATAAATAAAGATAAACTAATTGATACATCAGTACTATTATAGTGAAATATTTATTTAGAAAATGTTGTAATTCATCTTGCAATAACAAATAAAAAAAAGAAGAAAAGAATTCTTATGAAGATACATAAAAATATCATTTTGTTAGTTACAATTTTTTGTTTATCGTAATTAAATAACTATTTAGTAATCATTAAGTAGATTTATATTAATAATATTAATTATATTATTTATAATTTACTTATATCATTTACTATAATATACATATTTTGAAAAGAATTAATTAAACATGTACTCAATGAAATTTATATGAAAGATAATGCTTGAAAAAATATAGGACACATTTCTTTTTTTTTATTGGCAATCCTCCATATTGAGAAGATGAGAATAGCTGTCAAAGTTGAAGGTTTAACATTTAGATTATATTCATTGAAATATCTTGGGGATTATTATTATATTTTTAATTATTGTAAAATTGCACTAAGGAATTGTTTTTTCAAATAGTATATAGGCAAATTAAATTACAAAACAATTTAATTTTTAAAAATTTGATTTCTTTTCATTAAATTTGTATACATGAATTGTGGAAGATAGAAGATATATATATATATATATATCAATTTTTTTCTTCTGTGTTATTATTATATAATATCATTATATATGTTATATTATAAATATATATTTATTAATAATATACATTAATATGCATTATAGTATAATTAGTAATTATACAATAATATATAATTATACAATATAATTATACAATAATTAGTAATTAGTAATTATACATATAATATACATTATATATTTATAAATATAACATAAATACAATATTATGATATATATTATATTATAAATAAATATTATGTAATAATATTTATTTTTAAAAAATTGTCAATTTTTTTTATGAGACGTTATATTCTATACTATAGTTTTACAAGACACCCAGTATAACACGTTAGGCAATATTACATCACGTAGTAGTACGATATTGATCAATCAGACCGTACATAACGTGTCCCTTGATTCCTGTGTGTGATTTTCCGTGGGCCAACAAAAAAGCGGGGAAAGTAAAAAAAAAGTCACTGTTACAATGAAATTCATAATTAACTAAAGAGCCTCGCTCAGGTACGTTCTTCCAATCCCGTGATTCCAGTGACTTGTTTTTTCCCTTCTTCTACTTTTAAGGACATTTTAAGGACATCGAAATTTCGTGACCGAGGCGATATGTATCACCTCCTACCCTTGTTCGACCTGGACTGTGCTTTGAGACTCACTCAGGAGCGTATTTTCTCTCCAAGGATCCTTGACTCTTTCTAAGAAGTTAAATTCGATTAGAGTCAGTAATGGTTCAGTAATGGTATTATAAGATTTTCAGTTGGATTTGATGAAGTTTCGACTTGTGTAAAGTTAATTCGTTGCAGCAACAGCAGTGAATAAATTGCGAGTGTTGCGAATAAAAATTTTAATTCATTATGCTAGTGAAAAATTAGAGATGCTTTGCGTAGAATGTAGGATTATATTGTTTTGTTAATTTTATTAGTTACGTGACTCGATGTTTTTGGTACCGACTTTTTCTTAAATAATGAACCGGTAAATAAACCAATTCTATTTGTCTATCATCGATATTAATGATACGAATTTTGTCAATCTTTCGAAACGATTTAAATCTATACGTATATAATATTTTTCGTGTACTACCGGCGAACGTTTGCGCATGCGCGTCAGACGATAAGGGTAGTAGAAAAGTCGAGGATAGGATCGACATGAATCAGTCTGCGCTCGGCGATGTTCGAGCGATTATGAGGATGTGTTGATACGATATCTTGCAGTAGCTTAAATTGAAAATAGAAAATATATATTTTACCATGTTTAAAAAGTCCTTCATGTATTTCTATAGAGATAAAAGAAATAATAATAACAAGTCTATGATTACTGCTAACCAACACAGAATAATTATTACAATATAATCTGAGATTATTAACAATTGCAATATCAATTACTTCGCAATTTCAATGAATACCATGCACAAGACCAAAACATGTCTCCTTTTTTTTATCCATCAGACGTTCATTATTTTATTTTTAATGTTATTTCCACTTAATCTTCTAGGGTAGTTTGCACTCTCTAGGCAAACTCTATACGAAGACGCTGTTTAGTCTAATACGAAGGGTACCTAAATGTAGATATTTCAAACTTAATACCTACGTCCCTGTTCCTCTTCCACCACCACGTTTTCCGAACATCCAGCTAAGGCATTATTGATCCAGGTTGCTGGTAACGCACCACGTCTATGCAATGAGGCCATCTATTCCCGAGAATCGTATATATGAACTTGCTGGGCCAAGCGTTCAGGATAGTCGTTCAGAAGATGCTAACGTCGTATTACGTAGCAGCGTCACTGCTTACGTAGGCTTTAATCATGTTAGACTCATCCACGTCTTTTTTTAAAG